GAAATTGCTCGATTTCCTATTGGATTTCGTCTAAATACTTCTCTGTTCAGCCGTGACCGTCAAAACACAATCACGTTTTCAGACGCAGTCTTGGATAAACTCGGATTCTTGGAACGAATGCACCCAAGAGGAAAGTGCGTGCGCACTGTGTTCGTTATAGTTCATCCTTCCCAGTCTCAGAGCACTGGAGATTACTATAACTAAACTATAACTAAACTAGAGATCTTTATTGTTCCATTTGCTATTGTTTCACTCTTCGCCGGTCGAAAAATACAACGAACGTCAACTTTGGTGTAAGACTCCAATCGTCAATCATACAGCAATTAAATTTATTTATCAGATATTATGGGAAACTTAAAGTGTGCTTACCAGTCGCTGTGCAGTGAAACCTAGCTGTCTGGTTTTCATTCACTGTTAAAATTGATGGAGACACAATGACCTGCGGGGACCCGCGCCGGGGGTCATCAGGCGTCTTCGACTGACCGGGTATCCCTGGAGTTCCCTGGGCTCCTCTTTCGCCTTTCTGACCTTTAGAGCCTGGGACCCCAGAGGCCCCGCTGTTTCCCATGTCTCCTTTTTCCCCCTTTAAGCCTGGTTCCCCAGGAGGACCACGAAGACACATCTAGAATATCGATGCAAACAAACACCATCACTAAATTTTGGATTATTTTGTCGTGTTCTTAGCCAACACAGTTTACTCGCACCCTGTCTCTCTCAAACCAGGAAAATTGATGAATCTTTGTTTACAATAGTTGTTTCTTTTGCATGAGCGTTTGACTCTCTGATAGGCTACAAAAAAAATATCAACGCTGATTATTGAAAGGGCATGGTACGATTTACTGTCCCAAGAAATTTGAGCGCAACGCAAGTTCAATACTTAGTTCGCGGCGCGGGTTTAAGACCGGTTGGAAAAACTTTCAAGGAACATGTAGCTTCATTGACGCTTTTTCCACCCAGAAAAATTGTGCAGTTTTTAAAGGCCAATATCTCCCATAATGTTACACCCAAAGGGCAAAACACTTCACCCGTTACTAAGTTTCGCGAGCTCTGTCACTGTTTGGAACCAATTTGTGTCTAGCTTACGTATGCAAATGAGGCAAAATTTAACCAATGACATCAGCAAGGATGAATACCAGCGAGCTGTCAAGATAGCCAAGATGTTTAAAGGAGCTCAGTCACAGTATTTTGAGTTATTTTCTCCACGCACAAAATTACCTTTACATTGAAGGAAACCTGAAAATAATAGTTTACTGAGATAGAAAAATACTAAAGAAATAATAATAAACCATAAAGAAACAAGGATGGTTAAGGATGGAGAAGATTACGGAGTACAATTAACGAATTTGAAAAATTCCAGCTTAACTTTCCAAGATGAGCAAACCGTGACGTAGCTCCTTTGAGAGTATTTTGCGTTTCAGGGGCAATTTTAGAGAAATAGAAAAACTAATTGAGATCGGGACCAAAATAAACGCAGCATCAGGGTTGCTTACCGAGCCAAGAGGTGAACTGCAAACGCGTGTATTCTCTTCCCTCATCTTCTCCAAATTTTTCTTGATCTCGTTTTTTATTTCAGTCAGTTCGTTGGTTTGTTGGTTACTGCTCTTTGTTGCAAGCCCAGTTCCAGAACGACGTGCTCTGTTAATGGTTTCACTGGACTTTCCTTGAAATAAAAGATCATGATGTTCATAAAACGCTGACGCTCCTCAATACTTAGTGCACTGCGAGCATCTCCGACACAGCCACACAGTAGCGTAGCAGCTCTCGTAAGCTTGTAATCCTATTTGTCGTCATTGCAGCAGCTGTTATTGTTTTGGGACTAGGGGGCATTGTTTCTGTTGTTTGTTCTATCGTCCACATTTGTGTTGTCACGCAACGCTCGTCACCTACCAGTGGAGGCGCGCTGCGTGACGGTTGCGCATGAGACTACTTAGCTCCTTTTGATTAGGATTTGCTCTTTCTCTTTTTAGCGCGCACAAACTTCAAGATACAAAATGAGTGGAGCGTAAAACTGTAGTTTACAGTTTTCGCGCTCCTATTAGGTCTGATTGCGCAACAAGCTTAACCAGTTAGGCGGGCCGGATTTGTTTACCTTATTACGTAAATTTTTCGAAACACGTTAATTTCGCGACTTTCGCGATTTAAAAAAAAAATCCCGAAATTAATGGAAGTGGCGCAAACAATAAGTGTAGCGAACATAACATGAACACGAGGCGAAAATTCACATTATGTGACTCACATTATGTTACTGTTGACATATAGTTCAGCCGTTGCGTTTTTGTTACTTTTGACGTCATTGTACTTTTGATAAAGTCGGTTTACTAAATTCAAGGACATGTTTAAGTAACGTCAGTAACATTGCCGAGGAATTTAATTGCGTGTTACTCAAAAACGCGACGTTAAAGTGGTTCAAAATAGAAAATTTCGCAAAATCGCGGAATTTAAGTGTCGCGAAATATGCGCACCCGAAAATCGCGAAATAAACGCGTCTCGAAAATCTCATGTAATAAGGTACACAGAACAAATACGCCCGGCCCGATGGCAAAATTTGAACAAATCCTACAGTCTTTCCTTGTGCACCAACAAAGTACAATTATTTGCCGTGTGATAATCCAAGTCACCTGCACAAAAATATGTTGTCAAGTTCAATTTGTTGTCTCCACTGGCGAGTTCTTCATGCGGGGCGCGGAGAGTCTGGAACGAGCATAAATAACGCTTATCCCGCGATATCCCGCACCCTAACTCGAAACTGTTTTGCAAACTATCGACTGGGATAACAATAGACATTTCTATTGACTTCTGGCAGTCTGTTTTCCTCTCGATATCAGGCAGATTATAAGGGGAGACGTTTCAGCCAAGAGAGATTGAGACGAGATCTTTTTCGTTCATATCGCCCTTTAGCGTTCGTGTTCTCGTCTGACCCTAAGAGGAAAACCGGCTGCCAGAAGTATAAAAGTTCCCTCTAGGAGTATTCTTCGACTCACTTCGCAGTAATTCTAGGCTTTATCTCTCCCGATATTAAAGAGAATTTTTGAGGAGGCTGCACAGCCAAACCACACACAAGTCATCTGTCTTACCCTTAACATCAGCTATGTCATCTTCTTGCGACACGTCTTGTGTTCGAGCCGTGCAGAGTCGCTCAACAGCAGCAAGTTTTGCGTCTTGATCGTTCAGTTTGAATTCGATTCTTACAAACCCTGCTAGAAGTAGTAATAGAGTGACAGTGGAGATAACCAAGCTTACGAAATTTAGCGAGCTACAAAGTCCCGGGTTGGATTTGGAAACAGCCATTTTACAACGTACTAGATTAGTAGATAAGACGCCAGTCAAAACAATACAAACGTTCTTTGTCCGAGAAACGTTCGTGATAACAGGCAGCACTGAATGATGAGTGAGTGATAGCTTACAGTGATCACGATATATCGTCACATCACGCAACGTGTCACGCAATTGGGTATAATGTCATGAATATAGAGTCCTTAGAGGGCTCAGTCTTTCAGTTCATTGTATATTGAGCTAGTACACTATGTACAGAAATGCTTTTCAAAAGATTAGCTGATGTTTTTAATTTAATGCAACCGGACACCGCCTTATCCTATTCTGCAAAGCTAAGAGATCTTCTACATACACATATCATGTTCTTCCATTCCGGAGATATCTCTAATTATTGCATTCAAACTAATTATCGCCTATTCAACCACGCAAGTTGCATTCTGAGAATGGCATCCATATTGCAAACTCTACTTGCACGGATTACCCCTCATGCAAACATTCCACACAATCCACCCTCCCCCTCCCCCCATGGGCTGGTGTGGTACTCTACGCTGAGCTACATATCGCTCTACGCCGGTACGACAGATGGTTTATGACAGATTCTGTATTTTGCACACCACAAAATGCTTTTTAAAATTCATTTTTTAAAATTCGTACCTTACATAAATACAGTCGTTATTAAAGGCTAAAGTTTTTCCTTATTGAGGAAGTAAATAATCTGCAAGCCATTTTCCAATATTTTACAAGTTCCATAATTGTTATATAACGTATTGAAGAATGTACGAGTAATGCAGTGTTCAATTATTTCCTTCAAAACCACAGTTCTCATTCAGCATTATTGTAATCAAAGGCTGTAGGCTGTAGGTTGGCAGCCGAAAGCTTATTTTAACTTAAAATTTTCAGCCAGAGAACGTTTTAATTGTTTTAATATGTCAACCCTGGTTGCTCGTCTATTTTTTTAAGCATGAAATCATTATTATTATCATTATTGTAATCATAAAATGTCAGTAGGGAAGCCGGTACCGTCATCATGACGTCATTTTTAATGACGTCACCTTTTGCATCATTGGCTCTATCATTGACATAATCGTCATCATTGTCACGCCTTTACTATAACGTGATCATGTCATCATCATCATCATTATCATCATCCTTGTCACTATCATCATCGTCATCATCTTCGTCATCGTCTTCATCATCAACATCGTTATCACCATACCCACCATCTTTGACATCACCGATTTTGTCATCACCATTGTCATCATCACTCTTCTAGTCATCATCATGATCATAAGTAACCCTCTCAAACCAGACAAGCATCCCATATAACAACCCACCTTCATTCTAAACTGTATTAATATTTCCCTGCTCGTATTTGAACGCCACACTGTACATATCGCCTCCAAGTCTTTGAGCGAGCCAGCGGTTCTTGATCACGGCCATTTTAATAGAATCACACGTGAACTTCGCCTCGTAATTTGTAAGGATGGCCCTCAAAAAAATTAATGAAATTTCAACGCATTTTTAAGACTGCAAATTAAGTAGAAAAGACATTCAGCTACCTTCCCATTCCCTCCAAGATTAAAAGATCTGCATCTCTACATTTCACAGTACTTACTCTCCTGAAAAATACAAACAAGAAAAAAACCTTAGGGATTAATTTTTACTCAAGACCATTGCATCATGTTGTTTGCTTTCTTTGGAGACATGATGGGGGCAATATATCAATTATCACACGTTCTTGCTCTGCTTAGTTGGTCAAACGTCAAAGCTTACACAGGAATTTCATGAGACCAAAGAGTTACGCATTTTGGTTTGAGGCGGAATATTTGGATCACTGTTATTATTTCAGATGCTATTCACCGCGGAGAGAAACGAAATAGTAATAATGAACTTTTTATAAGCGTAAACAACTTTTCGAAGCATCTGGATCGTAGGAAAGTCCACAACTTCCACTAACGCTGGCACAATCGAACTTTGGATTTAAATACACATTCAGTGGGCGTGACCAGGTGAATATGACAGTCTGACCTATCCAAGATGAGAAGGAAAATCTGTAGATATTACAGAGGTTAAGCATGACGTTTACGGCAAACGGCAAACGGCAAACGGCAAAAATGACACTTTTGTCGTCTCTCTTCAGCTGTGTGTACAGTAGAGTGAAATTATTTGTATATGCAATGAATAGTAGGAGACGTTATTCCATTTTTGTGTGCGTTATTTACGGATTAGAAGCGAAGAACTGAAAATGAGAAGTTGTCTTTGCCGTTTGCCGTCTGCCGTTGACGTCATGCTTAACCTCTCTATTACCACAAAGGAAGTTAAAGCTTTCTATTGGTTTTGTTCCAATTGCCCATCTCGCTCAATATGTTGGCATTCAACCAAAAACGGCTGGGAAAGCATCCTCCTTTTACGCATAACAGCAACTCGACAGCAACGTCTAAAGCTGATGCTCGGACTCGGTTAAAAGACTGGAAAACAAGGTTTTATTCCTGTGGAGAACCACCAACAAGAAATTCGTCTTCCCTCCAACAACAACAACAACAGAAAAACCTTCTTTCTCAAGACAAAATTCCTTTAAGTTCCCCATGGTGCTCTCGACTAAGGCATCTAACCTTTCTATTTAAGTTGACCTAACTGTCTCATGCCACATGATACTGTTTTTCCCTTCTGATATTTAATCACTGTTTCAGACAAGTCCTCTTCAGCGAGCACGTACAATAATCTCACCAGTTTAGTAAATTCCCCCGGGGGGGAGGGGTTCTCCCTTATATGGGCTATATGGGTACCTGCGGCCCCAAAGGGTGTGGTTTTTCAGCCGTTTTGGTCATAAATAGGGTATCGATTTTGGCCATTTTGGTCTTAAATAGCGTATGGTTTTTGTAGTCTTGAATTGGGTATGTTGTTTAGAAGAGGCTACTTTTTCATCATTATCGATAAGACCATAAGCAAAAGCCGTTCAACTTTTGTTTAGAGCAACTGTGTCAGCCGCAACTGTCATAAACAGGGTATCGAATTTTTGGTCAGGTCAAAGATAGGGTAGGGAAAATCGTTCGCTTTCGTGAAATCAGGAGACGATGGAGTTTACAGCTGCAGAGCGGAAAACCTGTTGGGCAGTGTGAGCGTCTCAGCAAAGTTAACAGTGCAATGTGAGTTTTGTAAAGCTTGTCTTTAAACAGCATATCTTCATGAAGGTGCCCGCAAAATTATCTGAGAATGTTAGTGTCATGTATAAGCCGTGTCTATTATTGTCCACGACGGCATCGACTGCCTTTACTTGATTGAGGACGCAGCATCAATTCATAATAAACTAATTACTCTAACATTGTGCCTCAACAGTTGCTCCTCGGGTTTCAATATCCCCCAATCAACTAATGGCTGAGGAAGGACAAACTATCAACATCGCCTACAGTGCAACTGGCCAGCCGCGACCTAGTATCACGTGGTCTAAATCGATCGGCAGTTTACCTGATAGAACAATCGTAGGTAAAGGAGCCTTGAAAATCAACAACGTGTTAAGCAAGGACGGTGGTATATATATCTGCGAAGCAGAGAATATTCTGGGAAGAGCGGTAACGACAGTTCAATTGATGATATTCTTTCGTCTGCGATTTAAAGTTCATCCTCCAGCGCAGCTGACAGCTCTGATTGGGTTACCTGTGCGTCTGCCGTGTGTGGCCGAGAGTAGCCTGAAACCAACAGTAACGTGGATGAAGGATGGAAAGCCGTCACTTCCTGTAGACTCCAGTATTCTACAAAACAACACACTTGTCATTTCCAGTGTCAAGAAATCACACGAGGGATCTTACACCTGTAAAGCGACCAATGCTCTATCTTCTATACAAGCAAGTGTTCAGGTTAAATCCAAGTCTCCTTCTTCTTGTTCTGTGATACGGAAATACGTCAGCAGTTCTAGCGGATATTATGTCATTGATCCTGACGGCGCGGGTGGTCTTGCGCCATTTACAGCCTACTGTGACATGAATGAGAAGAATGGTGTCGGCGTGACAGTTGTTAGTCACGACAGTGAAAGCAGAACATTGGTGGATGGATATGATCGTCGTGGTTCATACTCGCGCAGCATTCACTACTCAGGAGCAAGCCTATCCCAGCTGGCCAGTCTTACTGCTGTTCCTTTAAACTGCGAACAGTTCATTAAATATGAGTGTTATGACTCTGCGTTATGGTTTCCCAATCCCATTGGCTGATGGGTGTCACTTGATTCTAGTAAGATGTACTGGGGCGGAACGTCGCCTGGAAGTGTAAAGTGCGCATGCAGAATGACCAACTCGTGCGCAGATCCCAGTCAAGCGACAAGAATGACGCTGCATGGCGCGAGGACAGCGGTCTTCTCACTGATAAGTCAACACTTCCAGTCAAAGAGCTCAGGTTTGGAGATACAGGAGTATTCCAAGGTGTTGACGAGAAGGGCTACCACACACTGGGAAAATTGAGGTGCTATGGTACAGCCCACGAGTAGAATACAAGAACAATAACTTTGATATGACAGCACCGACGATTAGTGAGTCGCTTGGATAATGTTAGGCGGGACCAAAGAACTGAAGAAAATGATTGTATTGGGTTAAATTTCCTGTTGTTTATCTCAGGATCCTATAAATCACATAAAGCAGCCATATTGATTTTAATTTGGTAGGAGAATAAAATCAAATCAACATACCTATAGTCCAAACAAGTTGAGCCAATCCCTGATTCCATAGGGACTAACTGCTCTCCCTTATATGCAGTCCTAATTCAAAACAAAGCGAAATGTAAGTGGCCAGCTCTCATGTATGTGTATCGGGGGGGGNTCACTGATAAGTCAACACTTCCAGTCAAAGAGCTCAGGTTTGGAGATACAGGAGTATTCCAAGGTGTTGACGAGAAGGGCTACCACACACTGGGAAAATTGAGGTGCTATGGTACAGCCCTCGAGTAGAACAATAACTTTGATTTGACAGCACCGACGATTAGTGAGTCGCTTGGATAATGTTAGGCGGGACCAAAGAGCTGAAGAAAATGATTGTATTGGGTTAAATTTCCTGTTGTTTATCTCAGGATCCTATAAATGAGTGTGGACGAAAATAAAGGAACGTGGGAGAAGAAGGCAGAGCAACGGAGATTGTTACGTAGGAAAGTGGCACGAAAACCGCAACATATTTAAGGGATAAATTATAACCAAAGATATATTTTCCGCACAAATGTTCCTTACAAAGTGCTTAAAAATTCACTGAGCAACAAGATGATATATGTTGGGCCCAAGGCTCAGTTATATTACGACTCACTCACCTTATTTCTGGACATAAATCCGTTACTTTCTTAGTCAAGATAAGAAGTTCACTGTGCGTGACGTCATTCAGGACTGGATACGAGATACCCGCCATAACAACCTACGCATGTCACTCAAGGAACGAAAACATTTGAGACGTGTCACGTTATATAACACATTGTCACTAACAGAAGCATAGAGAGGGATTCGTTATATCCTGAAAACGAGCTACAAAGAAACCAATTACACCACAAAGAGTGCTTTAAGTTTAGTTTTTAACGTTTTTCTTAGAAATGATGATGTTTAGCTAAAAGAGAACAGAGTAAGTTAACTTCTCTCCATTTGTTTGCTGACACGGGTTTAAACTTAACCTCATCTCCAATTGAGGAGCTTGGCAAAGGTGCCTTAGGAATGGTGGAGCCGTAATATGAGCCTCGAGCAGAGCATGAAGGTATCCACGGCAACCCTGAGAGCGGCAACCACCAGGCCCCATCACACTGACAGAGTCAGTGGAGATACTTACCACCCCATATAGTTACCGTCGCCAGCAAAAGGGAGGGAGGTGCGGAAGCAAAAGCACTCAACAGGCACGAAAGGCACTCAAAGGCTAACTGCATGTTCTCACACAGCTGGCAAGCAAAACACGTCAGCCCTGCAAAACTCCGCATCGCCCTGAGAGACCGATGGCTAGCATTGGCTCCACTCAAACTTTGCCTAAATTACATTTAGCCCCATTAAA